TATATATTACAACAAAGTAATTATTCTAGTTTAAAAACATTTTTTTATTTTATTTTTTTTATTTTTATTTTTATTTTTTAATCTGCAATTATGCCATAATGGCATGTCTTTATTGAAAATTTAAAATAAACTTACAATATTTTACAGACTTTCACAAAGTGACTAACTCATCTTTATACAAAAGTACTCTAAGTCAGATTTTGGGAACAATATCTCGCTCTCCTAGTATATTGGTAAAAATCTTTATTTACTAGGATCATTGTCAACAGTTTGTCACTGTTAATTGCCCAAAAACCAATAAATTGCTAAGTTAAAAAGGGAAAGGGGAAAATAATTGGAGAAAGGGGACAATTCAAGGTTCACCAGAAAATCCAAAAATAAAAACAACCTCTTCTCAAAAGGGATCTGTCTGATTGAAATAGTCTTCTTGCTTCACTTGAATCTCGAAAGGAATCTTCTTTTTTATCACTTGTGGCATCAGATGAGTCAATCCAACTGATCTTTCATTTAAGTGAGCACCAGATTGGGATATTTCAAGGAAAGCATTTAGACTTCAGCTTTTTTCCATTAAAGCTTTGTTACTACTTGAGGAACTTAAGTAAGAGATAGGAGTTTGCAATCCCATCACTTGATCTTTTAGTGTTATAAAAGTTTTTATTGAGGGACTTGAGCTTTTTGAGAGCAAACATTTCTGGAACCTTCTTTCCAATCACCAAATGATGTCATCAAAACACGTGATGTAACTAGTAGGAGCTTGTTTATATTCTGCTATCAACGTGTTTCATGTTAACCAATCACTTTCAGCAAAAGCTATGTCGATTTTGTGTCACTCCAAAATTCAAGGTCAAGCTGGGGTAGGCAAAATTCCTCAAAAACTTTGAAAAATGGATAACTCTAAGAGAGTAGAAATAGTGGAAAGGAAAGTTTTATGGTTTAGGCTTTTGTTTACCTATCCATCCACTGCACAAAATCTCTAGTTGCACTCTTGCTTTAGGAGATAGACTTTTAGTACTTTACTATTGGTTTTTCTTCCTTTTAGAACTTTCTTGTCATAGGTAAAAAAGATGTTTCTTGATTTTTCTTGATTAATGAAAGTTAAATTTTTGTTTGAAAAGGAATATAAACAAGAAAGGGGGATTGAGAGGAACTCTTGAAGTTATCCTTCAAGTTGATTTAAGAAAAGTAATAAGACTTTATTAACAGAAAAGTATAAAACTTTTTGCAAATATCTTTTTTGTATGTTGTCAAGAGATCTGCGAAAAAAGTTATTTAAAATTTTGTTTTATTTAATGTTTTTTAATTCATTTAAATCTGATAATTTAAAAATAAAAACACTTGAAAAACTTAAAATCTGAATAATGATATTATTTTATCATTTAGCTGGATTAAAAAATAATAAGATTACAAGTGTAAAAAATTCAATTGGAAGTTTTGTATTAAAATCTGAACTTTCAATAAGAGCTATTAATATATTATCATATTTTAAATATATAACAAGTTATTTTAAATTATATTCAATTATGATAAAATTAGAAAAAAATTATAAAAATAATATAAATCAATATTTTCAAAAAAAATCAAATAATATTTTTATTCTTAATATTGATGATTATTATGATTGTCATCAAATAAAACTTCCTATTATAACTTCTAATAATAAAATATGCCATATGGCAACAACATTTATTAATATTTTAATAAATATTTCAAATATACAATTTATTTCATCAAATAATTCTTTACTTTATAAATCTGGATTAATAAAAATTGATCTACTTCAAAATGCATTATATGATGAAATAAGAAATAATTTAATTAGTTATAATGATAACAAATTAGAATAGAATAATATTCCTGATATTTTAATATTTTCAATTGAAAATTTAATAGAATTTTTATCTATTAATATATATGATGGTACTAATGAAAATCAATATATAAGAAATTTTAAAAATATAAAACTTATAGATTTTATATCTTCTAATTTAAAAAATACAAATGATTATTTAAAAATAATCATAAATTTATTAGAAATTTCTGAAATTAAAACTTATTTAAAAGATAATATTATACTTGTTCCAATAGATTTTTCTGGACAATTAAATATATGAAAATTAATTGTTCAAAAATTTTTAAATTTTAATTTAAATATTCCAAATGAAATTAATTATTTTATTCCTATACTTGGTCCTTTACATGTTTCATTAAATACTCGGGAAACATAAATAATTAAATTTTATCCATTCTTTAATGAATTATATAAAAATGTTTTAAATAAAAAACATAATTTGACAGAAAAACCAAAACCATGGCAAATAAATTTATTATTTTATATTATACATATTGAATAGATTAAAATTGAAACACAAATTTTTAAAGTTTTTGAAAATTTTAAAAATGAAGGTTTTTATTTAATTTTAAATCTTTTGGATAATATTATACCTTCAATTTTAGATACAATATTTATACAAATTTATTTAGGCATAATCATTTTGAATATTATTATGAACCAATATTTTGATTATGAATATTTATGAAAAAATGCAATCAAAATAATTATGATAAATAATATTAGCTTTTTTATCAGATATTCTTCAATGGAATGAACAAAAACATCCAATAATTGAAACATTTTTTAAATATCTTAATATAATTGATTAATATTTAGTTGAAAATTTTTATAGTCTTGTTTGTAGAAATACAACTTCAAAATTAACAAATTCAAAAACTCTTAGACAATATGCTATTTTTATAGATAATGAAAAACATGAAAATAAATTTATTGAATTTTTTATTAAACTAAAAACTATCTATTTTCTAAACCTCAATTAGATTCTTTATTCAATTTAACAAGTATTAAATTTTTATCAAAAACAAAATAAATTTAAAATTGAAGGAAATGGAAAACAAACTAAAGTTTATATTCCATCAATTGAAAAAAATTTTACAAAAGAAATTCTTCTACCAGCATATTATATAATCAAATTTCAAATAAAGAAAAATCTTATGATTTACAATCTTGTAATAATATAAATTCTAATATAAAAGTTTTATTATGTAAACATTCTTATTATTGTACCTAATTGCAATTATTGTTTTTAATATTATAAAGTATTAATTGAAGAATTAGTTACTTCTTTTAATTCTCGATTGACTTTAAAAGAAAGCAATTATGAAAATAATGAAAATAGTGATAAAATAGATAATAATATTATTGATATTGAAGAAATAAATAATGATGAAATATTTGATAATTTTAACTTAAATGAAAATAGCTATAATAATGAATTAACGATGGCTATTAATGATTTTATTTTATCAACAAATGAAAATTTAACATCTAATTTTAAGAAACTTTCTATTGATTTTTCAGAAAATATAAATAATGAAGAAATATCATACTTATCTAACAAAAGAAAAAGAAATTCATATCTTACAAATCCTATTAAAAAAAAATAATTTATTTTTTAAATCATTATTTATAGTTTTTTTTAAATAGTAACTTAAATTTATAAATTTTTTATAATAATAAAATAAAAAAATTTTTTCTTTTTATATAAATACGATTTAATTATTTTTTTTTAGTAAAACTATTTCCTATTTATAATATAAATCTATGAAATTTAAAAAAATTTTTAATGAATAGTTTATATTTAAGTACGAATTTATATTATATTAATGTAATACGACTCACGGCAATTTTGATAATTTCGCGATTTGACTGCGTGACGATCTGCGATTAAGTCACGTTTTACATTTTTCCTCATGATCCGGAAATTTCACTCGAATGTAATGCTGCACAGGTAACGCTCAGGTGACGCACAAGTGCCGCAAGGGTGACGCATGAGCGGCACCCCCCATGTCATTTATTACGTTCTTCACATAACACTGTAATTTAGGAGTTCGGACGTGACATTCATGTCACTGGCGCAGTAATATCATAAAAAAATTAATATTTTTCTTGGCAAAAGTGATCGGCGTGAAGAATTCTTCACGCACGACTTTATTTCAAAAATCGAATGGAAAACCCAATATTTTTTTGTATAATGTTTTATTTTAGGGGGAGCGATTGACATTTAATTCCGCTTGGTTTTCCAATGCGATTTGTCTTCTTTTTCCTCGCGTATTGTCCAAAAATAGAATATTTCGGTATTAAGCAATTTTTTCTATATTTGACAAAGATTAGATAGTTATTGATAAATTGCCATAAATAAAAACTCTCAACTTACTTCAAGAAGTTTGAGTATGCAATATGAATCTTCCAGCATGTTGCAACAATCATCATCAACAGGTATTCTGCATCTATCTAGCAATCCGAATCTATAAACACCGGATCCAATCCATCGCGTAAAAGTTCAGCTCTAAGCCTAAATAGAAAACCATTAGTAAAGAAATTATAAAATTTTTACTTCCTGTATATTAAACTCACCAAACTGAAGCCAACCATAGACTATAATTTCTAATCTTTTTTCATCGGACACATAGTCGCAATCTTTTAACAAACTATTAATACTATCGCGCATGACTACCATTAATTTCACTTTGTCTAGGAACCGTTTCTTGCGACAGGCTGTAGGGCTTCCAAACGGTCCTAATCCACCTGCAACCTCTCCAAAGATTGCTTCGAATTAATTTGGTGTGTTTAATAACGTTGCTTTCATGTCGACTTTCCTGCCCATTCGTGCTTTTTTATACGGATTTGATTTGTCGTTACGCGCGTCACTACTTGAAAGAACCTGAATTTCTCCCCTATACACAAAAGAATTGTTACTATCGAATCAAAACATTCAATGCCTTTATAAAAGAAAATTAACTTACCAGGCATGCTTTATGTGATTGGATGTAAATATCCCGTTAAACAGTGGAAAAGATGATGTCATTTTTAATTGTTCTTCGGTCAGCATTCCTCGGAAAGAAGGCATGTTTATCTTTCTGTACAATGATATAAAGTTAGAATGTAAGTGTCGGGTAATCAATAATACATTCACAGAATTGATACACTACAAAAATTGTATATTTGTGTCGAAATATTTGTTTTCATCGCTATTGTCAAGTTTTTCACAATGATTGTGAAAGTAATTCTGGATGCTTGTTGGGGCAGGTTCACATTTCCATTTAACATGATTAGCAAAATCTTGAGATAATTGTTGTAAGTCGTTCTCGGTAATTTCTTTACATCCAGATAGACTTTCTCTAGTTAGATCAAGCACTCCCCAATATGCAGGGCTATGAGGTGATGAGATAAACGAAATGGATTAATAATTAGACCGTGATAATTAAAAAACACAAAACTTACGTGAATACTTTGCGAGTTTTAGGGATTTTGTTTTGGTATTTTCGAAACGCATTCAACACGTCTTCACGTATAAGTTTGGATGGATCCTATTGAGATGACGATATGCCTATTAAATATACTGTATGCACATAAATGCCAACATTAAAGTTTACCTTATCATCACTCGCTAGTGGCAATTTATTTTCTTCCTCATGAGTATTTTCGTCGATTTTTTCCATAATTGAATCTTCATTTGAATCATTGAAAAGTAATGCTAATCCATCGTAACCTAGTGTGTCCTGCTCTAGCGTATCAGCCAACTCTTCATCACTATCGCTATCATGTTTCTGGGCTATTAAAGGATTGTCATTGTTGCTTTCCAAAGGCTGGGATTGTTTTTTTACCTGAATCGGAAATTGAGAAAAAGGTCGATTATTAAGTTTAAAAGTAGGAAAAAACATTTATGCATCACTTACCTTCTTAGGCCTTGAATAATCTGATGAATTTGTTTTGATGTCTGAGGATTCTGTTATAGTATCTGGGTTCGAGTTTTCGTCACAATAAACTCGCTTTTTCCTTTCTCTCAGCTTCATCCATAAATGAGGGAAGCAAAAAAAAAACAACATATAAAAATTTTTCAAGATATAGTCCATCAGAAACGAATAGTACGCATCTTTACCTCTTTTGTTCTCTTTTGATCATGCAACACTCCACCATGCAATGCACCACCATTTATAACAGTCCCATTTATACTATTTATATCCCCACTAATTGGTTGATGAATATGGACCTGCTTATTCGAACGTTCATTTTCCCATTTTCGTGCTCTTCTTTTATCTGGTCTGGTTCCCTGATATGATATAAAAATCTAGAGTTGATAACTAATATTTTATTTATATAAACTTTCATCTTGACACCGACGATCTAGTAGATCATCCGTGTCTGGCAATGTCAGTAGTCTAGTAGACTTTTAAACATCAGGCAATCTAGTAAATCACCTGGGCCCTAACATTGCCTTTGTGGCTCGTCTAATAGACTTGAATGATCGAGCATCTAATAGACCTCCATCACGCCACTTATTTTTGTAAAAATACTTTCCTGCTTGTAAAGATCGAGGAGTTCCTGTGCTTTTAAACGCCTTTGACCATCTTCTGTGTTGGAAATAACCAAAAGAGACTTTAAATAACAATCTATTTTTTTCGTATAAGGTTCTAGGTTACATTCATTGAGGAATCTGATAATATCCCAATCTGACGCTTTACGATCGAAGTATTCGGGTAACTATTTTGGAAATGAACAAAAGGTGAAAACCAGAAAAATGAAATATTCATCCGCATTAACCCTCATACCGTAGACATGATTTTAAAGTTGATAGTGGTTTTTGCTCACACTATATCAAAGAAACGCGTTTGGGATACGCGTGAGATCTTCATCACGTGAATAAATGATAGGATCCAAAACTTTTAACGTATTTAGGAGTCGGCACTCCTTTTTATTCAATTCCTGATTGGCTAATTTACGCCAACCATGCATGACCGCAATATTAATAATATTATCAAGGACTGAGTCCTGATCAAAGTCCCTATGTGTGAAGTCTGGACTGATAGGATCGGACTTTTAACAGCCCTAGTAGACAATAGTGATTTATTACAATAAATATGGGTAATTCTTTTTGAAGGCAACAAAAAGCTAGTTGAATTTTTTTGGGGTAAGGGGTTAAGGCCCGGGATTATTTATTATGTTGCGCGTGTACAGTAGGCACCAAAATTGATGCATGATTTTAAAATAATTTTTTTTTTTATGTATAAAAAAAATTTTATTGATCTATTTGTTAGTATTTGGTCATTCCTCTATTTGCATTGATTCTTCACGGCATTGAATCTACAACATTTCACAAAGTTAACACATTAAATTTTGACCACTTTTCTTTCAAAGCAGTTTTGAGTTCGTCTGTGGTATGTGAAAAATCTTCACATTTTTGGATATTGTTCTTCAATAGCTTCCAAATGTTTTCTATGGAATTAAGGTCAAGGGATGAAGCTGGCCAAATCATTGGTTTAATTTTTTCTCTCGTGAATCAATTTTCAACACTCTTTGCTATGTGAATTGGTGTATTGTCATGTTGAAACACTAAATAAGAACTCAATAATAGATATGCTGCATTAAAAAATGGTATGAATTTATTTTCTAAAACCTTTAGATAAGTTTCTGCCTTAATTTTTTCCTTCTTTTCTTTATATTTATCAAAAATACTAATGAACCTTTTGTCTTTTCACAAAACATCTCCAGATCTTTAACAAATATCTACTATTTTTAAAAGTTGGTGCCAAGCATTTAGAATTATATCTCTTACTATTGTGATGTCATACTCTAATCTGATGGAACTGCTTTCCAATTTTTATATTAATTTTATCTGAAAAAATAATGCATCACCAATTATACACATCTTTTTTTCATATCACTTTTTTCATGCAATTGCATTAATCTCTGATATAAATGGCTTTTTTATTGTTATATAGGAATAAATTCCTGTATTGTGCAACACTCCAGCAGCAGTTGTTAAACTGAAATTAAGCTTCAAACTATTAATAATATCTTTTAATAACTTATAATGCTTCTTGAGGATTTCTTGTATAAATACTTCTTTTTTTTATTGAAGAAAATAGATTTTCTTCCAGAATGCTGAAGATTTTCTATTTTCTTGGTTTTCTAATATCTGGCAATAAAACTTCTTATTATTGAGAGAAAACATTTTATTTTTTTTTTGCAACTTGTTTGACATTCATGTTTTCAATATATACAAAGATTTTTCCTTTGTTTACAACTGTTAGTTCGATACAGGAATATATTATATTAAATCAATAATTTTTTTTTCTTATATTTAACTGATGATCAAAGGAGTAAATAAAAAAAAAGTGAAATCCTAAAAATATTAAAATAGAAGTAAACGTGATGTTTTTATTTGCCCATACGATTTTACTGCTAAATAGTATATTAATTTTGATATCTACTGTATCTATAGTATTGCAAAGTTTTTATTGTTAAAAAAACTCTTTCCGCTAATCCACTATTTTTCTAAAAAATTTCCTTTTTTGGTAATTTTTAGAGAAAAAGGATAACACAATCCAAGCTCAGTAAACACAGTAAAGAGAAACACAACTACATCACTTTACTTGGAGCAACACATAAAGCTCTATAAACAAGTCATCAGGAGAGGAGTACATAATAATAATATTAGTACTTTATCCACCAACTTTTGAGGAAAAGGGAAAACAAAAGTAAATC